TATCATTCCATCATATCGACACTATACACAGGCTTGCGAATACTTATACGAAATCGAAATCTTACTCTACAGCTTTAGAAGGCTCTTTGGTCATTGGTTTCATCAGTTTCAAGAATCATCATTTTATTATAATCAGGAATCAGGCCTTGTTTAACTCTACAAACATGATTACATCATGCACATGAATTCTTCACAAAAAATTACTATTGTGATTTTATATATACACCTCATTTCCTATATTTTGGCTTTTCTTTTTTGTTCGGCTTTTTTTCTTATTTTTTTGTTATGTTTAAAGGTTTTTAAGTTCATTTTTTCCTTGCTACATAAGTTTAAGACTCAATTAAGAATATTCCAGAAAAATTACATACATGATATTATTGCATCAGAGAGACATTTCATGAGGAATTGGGATCATACAACACAATCAAATATAACAAATTTGAACTGAAAAAAAAACACGCAAATATGTTCTCAAAAAATGTTATAAAGAAGTTCGTTGGTTTAAGATATCTGCTTACAAATATTATATCTTCAAACAAATCATAAGCATCAAGTACTACATGCTTAGTCCAGTATCTTGACAATTCACTATCTCACCCACTTAAAAAATTCAAATTACACAATGCAACAAACTACGAAATACGTGACAATTTAAATATTTCTTGATTTCTAGGAAGTGAAAATTTGATATATACAAAATCATTGGAATCCATGTTTTTGCACTATTGCACAAAGAGTTTGAACATCACCACAATCAATCTTATAAATAGATGCCTTCAAGATTACATGTTTAAATATCCAGAAGAATGGGTACTCACTATATTTTGATGAAGCTGACCAATTATTCTTTAGATTTCTTTCTAGACTTCATGTATCTTCAGGACGTTGTGTCAAATCATTAATGTCCAATGGCCGCAATTATGATCAACAAAAAGACAGAACTTCTCTAATTAGTAAGAGGGGATAAATTACAAAAAATAAAATATAAAACCAATCCCCATTCACTGGCAACTTAATATATTTTCTAATACTTACTGAATAAACAATTTCAATTGATTCTGTCGAATAAATTGAAATTGTTTACATGATATACGTCTTCTTACAAGACACACATGGTTTGACTACTCCCAAACTCCACACATACCATGATTTCCTGATGTTGAATAAAAATGCAGTACAACATTTAGGCATATTTTCTTTCGGTAGATAACTAAACGAAAAATTAATCCATTCGAAATCGAATTAATCAAATCAAGAAAGAATCGAAAAACAGAGATACGGCAAGTAACAGAAAGTTATCAGGACTAGAGTATTGAACAAAGGTTGAATATTTCGTTTTAAATTTCATTTAAAAATACTGTAGATGCATCACGACACAAAATAGAACAATCTTATATTCCGATACTCACAAATATTTGAAAGTACAGATTAAACTCACAATGACTGTTTAAGAATAAAATAACGATCTTACAATTATGAAGACTACATTTGACATCATCGTAGTATTACGACTTGAATAGATACAATAAAGATTTATGTGAAAGAAGCTCGTTATATCTTAATAATTGTATAAACCTTTCTATGAGTGCGCAACTGTATGGAAATACATATTAGAAAAACTCTAATACATACATGGTGTTTTATACTGTTTAATATATGTATTTTATTTTCTTGTCTTCTTTTTGTGTTGTTGTTTTTTTGTGTTGTTGTTTTTTTGTGTTGTGTTTTTTTTTGTTTTTTTTTTGGTTCTCTTTTTTTTTGTTTTTTAGGGGGGGTTGCTTTTCGACTTTTAAAACAGATAATATATTGAAGTAAGCCTTTTAACATATATGTAATATCAAATCGTAGTAAGCTAGTTTTCTAATTTTGAATAAATACATTCAACTCTAACAGACATGACATTGTTTAAAGATATGGAAAGTAGCCCATGGGAATGTGACCAACAATAAGAGTTAAAAAGACTTACTTTGTGTTTTATATACTGCTCCAGAAAATTTTGTACTGGATTGTGTTGATTCAAGGAAACGTTTCCCAAATCGTTTTAAATTAATCCTTTGCTGTTTTCAAAGAGTGGAAATTGATATTTTGTTTCCTCCTTAATAAGCTTCATTTTATGTGAGAATAAAATAAAGTGTTTGGTGATTGGTCTTCTAGGAAAGGAGAGCCTGCTATCAAAGCCTTTTTAGTTAAAATCCTTGATAGAGTGAATAGCCACGACAAGATCATTGTCCGATATATATATGTGAAACTAAAGAAAGTCCACTTGGGTGCACCTCAAGTATTTTATTATACCAGTAGGTCCGTAGTGCTTAGATACAGTGAACGCGATTTGGACTTTCGCGATCGACTTGCACTGCGCGTTCGGTCAGGTATTGATTGACCTTAATTCCTTGGTCCTTCCTTTAATAAAATGAGGATTCTTGAAACTAACGAGAGCAACGCCTAAAGAGTCTTCTAAAACTGTAGTCGCAAGAGTGTATATGGCATGGGTATGCTATAATGATACTAATATAAGTACCGTTAGTATGGAAAAGATTTGTCTCGCCCTTTATGAATTAAAAGAGGACATCTCAAAGATAAAAAAAACACACTTGCACATGGTACTGAAAAAAATGAAGCGACCCGTAGATCTTTCCTTTCTACGTACTGAAAGTTAAGTACTTTCTGCTGTTATTGCTTCTGTGCACCAAGGCAAACTCTTTAACCTCTGGTAATAGAGAAGTACGATATTTTGAATTTGTTGATTCTGTTGGTTCAATATTGGCAAATTCAACAATAATTTTTCCCCTGGTTACTCTCATCTCGGTTGTTTCCTGTTGAACAATTTCTCTAGCGGAGTATAATAGATGTGCATAACGATTGTTTTGAGATGGAAATTCACCAATTTTGCTAAGGTAGTCCTCAAGTTTACTATATTCTTCATTGTTTTGGAGAACATCTTTGAGCAATTCACGATGACGATTTGTAGCTAAGCCTGGATCTGGTGTATAAATTTCTGTAAATTTCTCTTGACCATTTTCTTGAGCTATCATACCATCAACTCTATGGAACAAGTGCCCGTTGATGCGATGATTGCGAAAGAGTTGTATTAATTGTTCGAGAATATTTGGACGTGATTGGATCCAATAACATATGCTTCATGTACTGTGGATGTTGTTTGAATATGTCACTGAGTAAAACTTTTCCCCTGTCGCAACCAAATGATGGTAATTCTGCACCGATAAGGAGAACATGACAATAATCACAACACTATTCATGACCACCTGGATTATACACTGAGTTCTGTGGTCTCCGCTATTGGTGTTGGTCATAAACTGAATCACCATTCTCTTTAAAACAGTTGGTGTCATCCTCAATGATGTGTTCAAAGTTGGTATCACACCAAAAGTACCATCACATCTAATTTCTTCTAGTGCTCTTTGTGCTACCTATGCTGCATTTCTTCCCCTACCTCTTAGTCTATCAGCCATAGTTCCATTATCAAACTCAGTTTCATGTTCAGATAATGGCGGTTGTTGCGGTAAGTCTGTGATCTCTGAATGGGTATTCTGTGACAAAACTTGGAGACTTCTTGGCTCTGTGTCTTGTTCCCATAACAGGTCAGTTAGTCTGTCTCAATAAGTAATGGGTCTTCTTGTTGTGTAGCACCTCAATTCGTTTGAAGTTGCCGCTGTGGTTCTGGATTAGCCGCTGATGTTTCTTCCTCAGGTTGAGGACGTCGTTGGAAAATCCCAATGAGAGTTCTCTGGGGTTTCTTTGGTTGTCACTCAGCTATTGTTCTTTGCTTGCTTAATCTTTTGTTTCTGGCCATTGTCTGGTGATGTTTTAAACGTTGTGTATAAAGTTGTATTGGTTTTGTGTCATTTTGTGTCATTTTGTGTCATTTTTTGTTGATAAGAATTCAAAGTGTAAACAGTGCCTATTGGATTTGGAGACATCCTTACATTTTTAAAATTGCTAGGGCAACGACAACCAGAATTATACATAAAAAGATCATCATCCTAGGTTATTTTAGAAGAACCACCAAAGCAAGCAAACTGAAAGTTGGAATGTATGATGTTAGAGATGACATTTAGTTCCTGGTGGTGTTAGAGTTTCCAAAGTGAGTTTTGTTGTTGAGATATAAGCAATTTCATGTGTTTTTTCTAGTTATACCATACAAATTATGAATGGCTATATCTCAGGAAGAATTAAGGATTACATACTCATCCTTTGGGTATCTGCTAGTTTTAGTGTTAGCTACAATTTGCATACTTTGGGGAAATGAGAAGACCGGATTGATATTTTTATTAGCATCATTGTAACTGTTCAATACTGAAGAACGTTATTAGTATGTTATCGGATCACCTTTCTTTACAAATGTTTTGAGTGGTTACAAGGTAACAGTACACCTTTCATAAGTAAATAACTCGAAATAGGATAACCGAAATGTAAGTTCAAAAGAAAGTTCTATAATAGATCTCAAGAGGGGCCAAAAAGAATCTAACTTCGAATTAAGTGATATACCGTGAACATATCTTTTGTCGTTACCATATTCAGTTGTAAATTGGACCGCTTTTTCTAATAAGAGGAGGATAGAAGGAACTTTGAGATTACGTAAGAAAAGAAGCGCGCAATTTGGTTTGTTTTTTGCCGAGCGTGGAGAGAGGGTTCCTTGTTTGGGTATGGAAAATAAACAAATTCAATAGTTTTCCCTTTCAGTTTATCCTTTGAAAAAGGAGATGCTTGGCCAGCGTATGTGATAGTATCTAATGTGTCATGCGAGACATTGACTTACAAGATTTGCACAGAGGTAATGGGGTAGTTGGAGGTAGATCAGCGAGCACAAGTATTCATGATCCTGGAAGTCATCTCATGTCAACCAGTGTGGACCATCGAGAATGGGACTATTCAAAATCAAAACAACGAGTTTTTAACGTAACCAGTCATATTTGTACTTTCTTGTTCCTGAACGTACTTTTCACGTTTGCAGTCTTCAACGCAATCTTACAGTGGTTAAAGTCCCTTTTCGTTAGGTTAAACCGGAAGGAAACACCAACGGATCCAAAATCCAAAGCAGAGTTAAAGCTTATACCTGATCTCAACTATTATTTCCGTCTTTATGGACTACAGGTCAATACTTATGACGTTACGACTGATGATGGATACGTTCTCACTATACAGAGAATCATCGATCCCCAGGAGTCTGCTGAAGACCGAGCTAAAAGACTACCAATATTATGTGTCCATGGTTTGCTACAATCTTCTGGTTCCTTCTGCTCGAGTGGTAAACAATCGTTGGCATATTACTTTCATCAACAAGGCTATGACGTTTGGTTAGGTAACAACAGATGTGGGTTTGAGGCTAAACACACATTTCTATCACCGAGCGACCATAAAATGTGGGACTGGGACATTATAGATATGGCACAGAAAGATCTACCTGCACTGATAGAGCATGTGTTAATAAGCTGTGATTCTCAAGCTGAATCTGTAACACTGGTGTGTCATTCTCAAGGAACCACACAGGGATTCATTACCTTAGATTCTGATAAATTTGGACTAAGCTCAAAAATCAATTGCTTTGTGGCTCTGTCACCAGCTGTATTTGGTGGGGAATTACTTGAGAAGCGATTGTTCATCAGGTTCATTGCTTGGATGTCGTTAAAGAAATTTTTCTTTGGAATAAATTCCTTCATTCCATTTGCAATGACCATGAGAAAATATATCGGGACAAGCAAGGCTTATTGCCAATTAAGTTACATGATGTTCAACTATCTCTTCGACTGGAATGATACCCTCTGGGATCAAGACTTGAAGTGTCGCCATTTCTTATTTTCCCCAGTCTATGTAAGTATGAAGCTGATGGCATGGTGGTTGAACAGTAAGGAAGGGTTCAACCAATCCAAGGCAATTTTAGAGCCTAAGAAACAATGGTTTGATTCAACCACCCCGCCTATATTTCTCGTCATCCCAACTCAAGATCTTCTAGTTGACGGAAGATCTCTTGTTGGACACATGAAGTCTTATGAGCCTGAGTGCCGATATTCGTATATTTATTTGGAGAACTATTCTCATTTAGACGTTCTTTGGTCTAAATCTGTCATAGATGACGTTGGAGTACCTATTATAAACTTCCTAGAGTCTGAAGTTTATAAGTAACATCTGTATATAGAGCTGTCTTTAGGAAGTTTTGTAAAAAATATTGTCTTTTGATGGTCACCGTACTGTTTCCCGCTGGTTCAATGAACCTTGAAAAAAAACAAAAAACTATTGGAGTAAACGAATCGATCTTTCTCATCCTAGACCAAACGGAGGGGAAAGATCATGAATGAAATACAACATAAGGAAACCGTTGGCCACCTACCAGATGGTGCTGAAATAGAAGTTCAAAGTATAGAATTCATAGACAGAAGGGTTTTATTCATAAGAGTCGAGGGTGAGGCAGATTCGACGTTTGATGTTCAAGCTCCAAACTCACAACTCGCTTTCAACCTACAGTATCAAAACGAAGACGACGATTTCAGTTGCGAAAAGGTTTGTTTAGTTGGCGATAGTCTGAACGTCAAATTATCTCTATTAGTCAACCATCTATCAAAACTTCTATATATGAACAGAGAAACGAGAAATCTAATAATCTCTGTGAGTTCAAAGATCTTTGATACTGGGAAGGCTTCTTCCAGGGGAGATTTCGATAGGTTTATTAGTGTGTTGGAACTCGTTAAGAAGGTTCTGTAAACAAGATGAGCCATCAGTTACCAGATTCGTCAATCACTGCCATGTCTAGCACTTCCAATTGCCCAGTCTTGTGGTTTCCAACCAATTCGACGAGATCACGGTAATTAACAGGATCGATAAGTGAAATGACTTCCCAGAGTTTACCAGTGTCTTCCGATAGGATTTCTCCTAACAGTGGTTTGATCTTTTCATTCAGCTTCTTAGCATCTTTTGAATCCAGAGTGACTTTAATTTTCATTTTTGCTCTAACAATTGGGATCACTTGCTCAGAGACTAATTGACGAATCGCCTCCAAGGCTTGGATCTTTGCAGGTTTTGTAGCAACAATATTGACCTTTAGCTCAACCAATGCCTTTTGAATCATCGTTGGAGGATATCTTTTCTTGGTTCTTGGATTGATACACTTTGTAGAGATGATTTGCAAAACTTCTGCTTGGACTTGTGAGTTCTTCGCCTGTCTCTCCTTCTCAGAGAGTTGTATCTCTCCTTTTTGAAGAATCTCTAGAATGATCTTATCGGTGTCTGTGGTTCCAAAAGCCTTTTGGAGGTCCTCATTAGGAGCAACCTGTCCCTTGGAGACGTTGAGAAACACCTGTGGAATCTGTAACACCTCATCGAGGTCTTTCTCAACATTGGACCTCCAATCCTGCACTTTATTCTGGTAGCATGCAATTTCGAATCTTTTCTTGCCCTTTTTCATTCGCACAAGCGACACATTGGTCAGCTTGATCTGGTTAGATGGCTGGTTGATAGGCATTGAAGCTTCTGTGCGTATGAGATCACCGTGATGCTCTTGCTTTGTTATGTTATGTTATGTTATGTTATGTTAGCTCAGCGTTTGACACAAAAAATTTTTTTTTCTCATTAGAAAGGGGCCGCTGTTAACAACTGCAATGGGCTTAAAGGCAGACTAGCGCTCATTGAGGACACCCAGCATTGGGGCCTACTGCGACAGAAGTGATTTTTAGCGAACGCTGAGCCAACACCGGCTTTGAAAACTACGCAGTACCCAATTACTCGTGCCAGCCTTCATCTTAGAACCGGGCGGGACCATTCGAATCCCAGGCTGAAACAAACTTTAATTCTAGACGGACGGATGTCGGTTGTGTTCAAAAATTTCTGCGTAGGAAATTGGACGCGAGCCCAAAAAAACAAAACAGCTGAGCGATTTTTAAGATTTCTACAGTACAAAAGAGAGGATGCGGCGGCGTTGCACGCTTAACTTTACGGATTACCCCTAAAAGCTGAAAAAGGAAAAGAAACGTAGAGGAAGAACGCGTGGGGACCAATCAGACGAAGCCTTGTGCTTGTGAAGCGATGAGTTGTTCCTCCTATTCTACTTCAGTTTCGTTTGTTTAGTTCTCCTTTATCGACATCAACAGGCCCAATGACGGTTCCAATTGATAGTAATACTGAAACAAAAGGGTCCATGTCTCCCTGACACCGCTCGCTGTTTTTGTTGTTCTGTCTCCTTTCTTCCCCTACGAGTTTTTTTCTTTCTTTTTGGGCCTGCATCGCTGCGCTTATTATCCACATTTTCCGTTTTTATCGTTCTTCTACCACCTGGTGCTTCATCCACATCGACCTTTCTTCGGCTACGTACCAAAACTTGTTGTTGCCAATAAGAACACCTCTTGTCAGATTCCCAAAAAGAAATAAAAAGTACTCCCCTACACGTTTTTGCTTCTTTCTCCCTCGTGTACCATGTCTTCAAGTTCAACGTCGTTTGCCATGGAGAGCACAACCTCGACGGTTAAGAGACCACACACTCACAAACGTTACAGCAGCGAGGATTTACGGCTGCTGAAGAAGGCACACTCATCGTCCACGTCAATCAACAAGATTGTAGAGGGGAACTTCCTCGAGGAGGATCTGTTGACCTCGATTGATGGGTTCATTGCATCCATAGAGAGAAAGCTTGACCGTGTGGAGGGATTCTTCGGCTCGTCGTCGTCTTCAAATTCTTCCTCTTCATCTGAGAAGAAGTACACCGATGATGATTCGATCGCTACACTTCAGAATCTATACGATACCCTGATAACGATTAAGAACTCCGTATTCGATTCAGCCTTTAACACGGAGAACTTCAACGCCATATTAGACGAGCATTATGGGGGACTTCTCTCCTCCATCGAATCATCTGAGAACTTGGGGTTCCACGAAAAGCTGCTGACAGCCTTGAACTTCCTTGATGCAAAGATCAACCAGTTCAACAATCTAGTGGAGAGTGAAGCCAAATACCTAATGGGCGAGGAGGAAATAGTTCCACGACAACCGTCTGATGCCGAAAACGAATACGCCATTAGAAATTTTGAAATCAAATTTCACAACTACGAGCATGCCATGTTTCATGGCTCTCAGAGACTACTGCACTATTACGAGTTGCCATTTCCATGGAGAGAAAACCCATATATCATCCATGGTTACAGATTCCACAACAACCACATCCATTCTTTACGCAGCATATGCTCTTGTCACAACGAAACCGGGAACATTTGGTCCCACTTGATAGGAGCGTTTATATTCCTATACATTGCATTCTACTCATTCCCAAGAAGTGCTGTGTATCAGAGCAATACCTTCAAGGATAACTGTGTCATCTACTTCTTTTTTGCTGCATCTTTGAAATGCCTGTTGTCTTCATCCTTCTGGCATGCATTCAGTGGTACATCAAACTTGTACTTGAGAAAGAAGTTTGCATGCATCGACTACACAGGAATCACAGTATTAATCACAGCATCTGTGATTACTTCTGAGTATGCAGCACTTTACTACTATCCGTGGATTCAAACAGGGTTCATTTCATTCTCGCTATTCTGCGGCCTTTGTGGGTTCTTCTTCAATTGGTCTCGTTATTTCGACCGTCCAGAGAGTAAACCTTTCAGAATTGCATTCTACATATGTTTGGCTGGACTGGGAGTCTCTGCATTTGTGTTTTTGGGATTCCAGAAGGGTTTCTTGCACGCTTTGAAGTTCTATTCTCCAATAAGTAGAAGTTGTATATGGTATCTCACTGGTGTGGTATTTTACGCATCCTTAGTTCCTGAGAGGTTTAGAACGGATGTCATCATTGATGTTGAACAACCAGAGGAAGCTGAGTTGCTGAAACCGCATGTCACTGAAAATGTTCACCGTTATTTCAAAGATGAACCAACATATTCAGATAAGCGTCATTCCATTTGGTCCATGTGGTGGGTTGACTATCTTTTCCAATCGCATAACATCTGGCATATCTTTGTGCTCCTTGGTGTTTTGGGGCACTGGAATGCTACTTACGAAATGTTTTCGAATATCTCCTACAACAAGTAAAGTGATTTATGTCCGATTGAATGTATATATACTAGAGACTCCAATTGTAGAATCTATGAGCGTATAAACCACTTTCTTCATGTGTATGCGTGTATAAAAAAACACAATTGTGATGACTCTTAAAATAACTTATAACGATGAGAATCAGAATGCAACCTCCTTTCCCATAGCCATGCTCACTAGCAAAAAGAAGTTTAACGTTGTAATGAACCCCCAGATAAGTATGGATATGATGTTCATCAACATGCTATTGCTCATATCCTTGTATGTGTCCTCCACATCTGCGTCATCTCCCTGGTCGTTCAACGACAAACTACTGCCTTGATCTTCATCTTGATCGTTAGCCTCCTCCGACATATCCATCAACCCAATTGACTCAATGGCTCTATTGTCTCGGTTCAACTTAACCCTCATGATTTTCTTCGAACTCGTCATGTAGATCAATGGTGCGCTCACAAATGGCAACAGCAGTGAAAGAACCACTTGAGATGCGTTTAACGCACTACTCAACCCAGATCTTCCCGAGACAAGAACGAGAACCAAACATGGTGTTATTGCAACAGAACGAGTGATGAGACGTCTCACTGCAGGTGGTAAATCCCAATGCAAGAATCCTTCAGCAACCATTTGACCAGACATTGTACAGACAATACCTGCACTTTGTCCCGAGAACAACAATGCCCATACAAACACTAAACCAGCAAATTTTGACAGATGCTCTGTTAATAGCGTATAGATTGAGAACAAATCTGTGCCCTTCTGTCCATGTAGTGCTGCACCTGCAACGATTAAGATGGCGCAATTCACGAATAATGCGACAGTGAACAACGAAATCACCAATTCAGTAATAGAAAAGGCCATCGTGTAGTTTATAGCATCCAGACTTGGTCTGTAGTTCAGATGGTCTTCGTCGTCATCAACGTCAGCGGCTTTATAGTTACCGGCATCTATATCGTAATCACGTAATCTTGGTTGAACCAATCCAGACCCCAAATACAACGAGTGTGGCATCACTGTGGCACCCAAGATGGCCAAAGATAAGTATAACCCGTCACCTTCGATGATCTCCTTAGAAGGCAGGAATCCCTTCATCACCTCTCTTGGTGAGAACTCCACGGTGAACAACTCCACTGCAAAACAAACCACCGTCAGAGTGACCAAAATCGAAACAAATGCTTCAAATATTCTCGTGATTTTCATACCACCGTTAGGTCTATACCACAGTAGAACGAAGAGGACATCAATAATTGTAAGAATAACGCCTAATATCAGCGGAATTCCAAACAAAATGTTCAAAGAAATCGCAGTTCCGATAACCTCTGCCAAATCCGTAGCGATGATGGCAATCTCAGCCAAAACATAGATGACAACGTTCAGCCTTCTTGGGAAATGTTCACGGCAGTTCTGTGCCAAATCCAGTCCTGTCACAGCACCGAGTCTTGCACACAAGATCTGTAATACCGCAGCCATCACTGTCGACAACAGCACTGAAAACAACAACTTGTACTGATGAGCAGCACCGGCAGCCACGGCAGTGGAATAATTACCTGGATCCATATAGGAAACTGAAACCATCAAACCTGGGCCAATGAATTTGACATATTTGCGTAAAATCTGTGATATGCGCTGTAACCTTGTGATCTGCTGTGTACTTTGCTCCTGACTTGTCCCTGTTGAAGGTGTATTGTTGGGCGTCGCAGCCATTGTTGATGATGGTGACGATACTGTCGCATCACCATTCCGTAAGTGCTCCAAAGCCTGCGGCTCAACCACGTCTCCAGAGTCAAACGACGACGCGTTAT